TGACCGGGACACCTTCAAAACATGACCGGGACACCATCACAACATGATTGGGTCACAATCAAAACATGACCGGGACACCGGGACACCAGCATCACATGACCCGGACGCCATCAAAACATGACCGGGACACCATCCGCCCACCAGCTCTGACGGTGACCCGACGGCGCCCGTCCGCCTAGTTTTGCAAGGCCCCATAGCATGGCTATTGGGGAATGACATGTCATAAAGGAGTGGAAGCGACTCCACGCGAAGAGAAGCAGCACATGGCGTCCAGCCACAGTATCCAAGTAAGCAAAGACATCTGTCTGCAATCTGAAACGAGGTGTGTTTTTTGCTCAAACTGAAACGACTCACGACTCAGTCGACTCGTTCCGACTGCCTCAAAACGACTCGTTCCGACCGGGTCTCTTCAAGGACTTCACTCGCCAAGCTGGGCAGGGCAAGAGTGCATCGCAGCGGTCCTCCAGTGTGGGGCAAACCTCACCGCTGTGGGGGCGAAGGAAACGATCGCGAACGCATCCGTCCGGGTGACCGTGAACTTGGGGTCATTCTCCGGAGTTTGGTTGGAGATTTGACACACATTGCAACACAAATTCGGTCAATGTGTGTGTGGACATGAATCGGTCACATAGTAGTCAGTGCTTTGCAGCAAGGTCTTCCTTATGCACCAGCCACAGCAGCGCAAGAATCACCGACGGCTCAACTGACTCCCATCCGTCCCCACTTCCAGCCCTAGTCACCCCACAAGCGCGGTGCGCGGCAAAGATCAACTCCTGCAGGTCCCGTCGCGTCAGGAGCACCGCCCGCGGAAAACCGAAGCTCACCAGTCCACGACCACGGCTCGCAGCTCGCGTGGAGCTCTTCGAGAAGGGCGCCTTCTGCCAGGAGACCTGAGAGGAGCACGCTTTTGGACCTTTTTGTTGGGTGGAAACATCGCCCGGTCGGGGTCGAGGAAGCCTTTGGACCAGAACTGAGAGGCGAAGCTGAGGAGACGGACCTGCCCCAGGTTTTTCAGCAAGTCCGGGGGTACCGATCAGGCCCTAGTCTGTTTGGCAACAGACTGAGAGGTCTTTCCCGACAGGCAGGTTTATGGGAGGGTGGGTGGCAATGCTTCCGCCCTCTCCACGAAATCCATGTCACGCCAAGTGGTCGCTTTCAGTCTTTCCTCAAGAAGATCAGCTTGGGACTCGGATCTCTGTTTCCACACTCTTCTCCACATGGGAAACCACTCCCCTCCCCGTTCACCTGCTCTGTCCAAGACCATCAGTCTTGCAGCCCAGGTCGCTCCAACAGGCAAGCGCTGGGCATGGTTGTAGAGGCGTTCCAAAAGCTCTCGGCGGATGATGCTCTTCGCCACCTCCGCACCGGCTTCGCACGGGCCAAGTAGGGTGGCTTGCACTGGGCGTCGTCGGGAAAGAGAGCAGTAGCTGTTCCTCTTTCCAAAGGCAATGGCCTCCAACCTAATAGCGATGGCTAGGGCGGCTAGGTGTTTCCTCTTTCCAAAAGGACATGGAGCTCAGCTGACATCTGCGGCAGGTCCTCTGTATACTCCATCCCTTCGCCCGAGCAGAATCCTCCCCGCCTGCGGCCGAAATTGGCTCTCTCGCCTCGGCGAAGACCGAAGGAAGGAAGGGCGAGGACGGACCCACTGCTCGGCGTGGGCTTCGGGCTTGGGAAGGGCCACCCACCTGGGCTTTTTCAAGTGCATCCATGCCACTTCTTGTTGCTGAAGGCATCCAGCAAGAGCTTCTTCATCATGTCCTCGGTACCCATTCCTCCTGCACATCACGGCCATGTCACGGTCGCACTGCAGGGACTACGGGAAAGAGGCCATAGTTCGCGTTCGGCTGGCGGCCAGGGATGACCTTCAACCACATGCATCCACATGCTTGATACTTCAAACTTCAAACAAGCAAATCAATCAACTCGTTCAAGGGTGTACCTATCGACTCGTTCAATTACAATCGACTCGTCAGTCCTCTGGACAACCATATCCTCTGGTCCAACGAAATCTCGGCTTGCACCCAAAATACTTCTGGGCACCGAATACAAATTGGTCAACCCTAAACCCTTCCCCGGGCGCAATCGCGCGAGCGCTGCGGGCTCGGGTTCCTCTCTTGGCCGATTTGGGCCTGGCAATTCCGGATTCCATCCACCCGACCACTGGAGGCCTGACCTATGAAGGTGATGCAAGAAATCACGCGCGATCGCTGAACAGGGTGCTTCTTGCAGGGCTTGTCCTGGTATCCAACTAACATAACTAACCCTCCATGCGGCCCTTTTGTTCCCCGATCTGCTCACGCGTAGAGGAGGAGCTTTTGCATCTCATGATACTCCGCAATCAGCTCCTTCGGCAGATTCACCAAGTGCCGCCGGGCTTCGGCCAGATCCTCGTCATCGCCTTGGAGGGCGAGCAGGCTGCGAGCTGCGCTGCTCTTCGGCTCTGAGGGACTGGGTCCACATCAAACCCCTCACTTAGCTGGAAAGACATCTTTGGTTTTTTAATGGGTTTTATTGTTGTCCACATCAGACCCCATCTTAGGGTTTTATCTTCGAACTTTTACATTGTTTTGATCAAAGACAAAGCAATCTACCGTGAAGACCCACACCGCCGACCCGACGTCGCTGGCCGACCGCCCAGTGGCTGGTATGGTTTGACACACCAGTGGCAGCGCCTGCGCCCGGAACGAAGGAGAATCCATTTTCCCCTCGGTTCAAATCCTCGTGCGAGGCCAAGTCCATGGCCTTCCGTCGCTGCTCCTCGGTGATCTCGTCGCCGAAGAGGAACTCCGTGATCTCCTCGGGCCGCCAAAGCAGTCGGACCGTCGGCGGAAGCCACCAACGCACGTGCTGCGACGGAAGCCTTCGATGGCGAGTCTTTGACTTCGCCCATGGGAAGGCGCCCATGGGAAGGCCTTCTTTTTTGGTCTTTGACTGCGAGTGGACCTCAAAGACAGTTTTTCAGTCCAAAGCAACTCTGGTTCGTTTCAGTCCGAACAGAAATCTCGCTGCAACAGCTTTTCAGTCCAGGCGAAACGTCTTCGGTCACCGTGCAGGTCGGTCACTCTTTGGGTCAGCGTGTGGTCACCGTGTGCAGAGCTCTTTCTCAACTTCTTTTGACGGCACCAAAACACACCGCGGACCATGTGCGGCGACCGAAAAGGAGGATCTAAAAAAAGAACACGTAAGTCTACACTCCACACGAAACAAAAAAAAGAAAACATAATTCCACAAACACACACATTCCCTATGGAAAGAAAAAGTCGAAAGAAGAAAAAGAAAAATGTTCTGCAAAGCCATGATCTCATGGGCGGTGCGGTTGAAGCCTACCGAACTCTCGGTCATGTGCTCGTAGCGCACCACCAAAACGTCGGGCGCCGCGACCTGCCCCGCGTAGCGACGACGCAAAGGCGCCCAGTGACTTCGACTTGAAGGACAAGAAACAACGAAGATTGTTACAAACTTGGGGATCGCATATGATGAATTAGTCACCAACTTGGTTTATCCATAATTTATTATTCTTGGGAAAGGTTTTGTTTTGTGTTAATAATTTATTCTGTCTATTGGAGGTTGGGGAATTCTTCTTTCTATGCTGATAAGTCCTTTTCTATGTGCAGAAGTCCTTTTTTATGCGGCGGGAATTCTTTTTTTATGTTGGTATGCATGTTTGATATTTGTATTTTAAACTTTGTTGTTCTGTTGCAGGTTGGAGGGTTCGTAGCACCATTTGGGGGGGCTGTAATCTAGAAGCTCAACTGCGCGGTATATATTCAAGACTTCACCGACATAATCTTTACTAGTAACAAGTGCCACGCTAGTAGTAACAAGTGCCTTACTAGTAGTAACAAGTGCCACGCTAGTAGTAACAAGTGCCTCACTAGTAGTAACAAAGCTATTAGAATCAAGTGCCTTACTAGTAGTAACAAGTGCCTCGCTACTAGTAACAAAAACAAGCAAACCTTATATTCAAGACTTCACCGACCAACAAGACTTCATAGCGCGACGCGGTCATTCAGTCTTGCAGTCATTTAGTCACAGGTCTTTCGCAAACTCCTTGGAGGAAAACAAGTTCGAGAGGCGAGGTTGGTTTACAAGGGTTGCTTGGCCGCCTCGGTGAAAGCACTACCTCGAAGACTAAGCGCTTGCCACCAACAAATCTGACTCCCATGAGCACCATCCCATTCCATCACTGGAAACTTCTAAATAAGCCCCTTTCAATTCCCAATCTCCCAGTCGGCTAGCCTGCCCGAAGCTCCGAAAAAATAGCCCCGAATCGGAGCTGTGCCTTATAAGCTTCCACCATGGTTCTGACCGTGGAGAGCATCCTCTTGGCCATCACAGGGACACCAAGCTCTGGAGCCATCGACACCATGCCAAAGGCTATAGGGTTCGTCGGCTCAGCCCCACGATGATGATAGCCTCGGGAAGGCGAATTGCTTTGAGCGAGAAGCCCATGTCTGTCCAGAAATGAATCTACAGTATGGGATATGAAAAGATTTTTCGATGTGTCCAAATTTGACGTGAAACAGCATAAAGACAGTAAATTAGCTTGAAAAAACATCAGCAAATTCGGAGCTTCAATAGGCGGAGACGACCATCTCCAGAGGATCTCGGATGATCATCACGCCTCGAAAGCCTCCTTTGGATCTCGTCTCATCACGCAACGTCAGGATGTGTGGAGCATCGTTGTGATTCTGAAGACGGATGGTAGATGGGTTGATCCTACAATCCAACTCTTCCCCCTGGCTGACCAACTGTCCCCCCTTGCCCTCATAACAGCAGGAATCCGTCGCACCCAGCGAATCAAAGATCCAGCGCATGGTGTTGCGGAGCAGCTGACTTCCCGCTTTGTGACTGGTGCAAACCACATAGACTCTCTTCTTCAACACACCTTTGTTCGGTCTATAAACCTCTCGCATCTGAAAAAGTCCCGTGCCGAGGTCCTCGCACGACATCTCAGCTGACATCTCGGCCAGCCATGTCGGATGAGCCGGACTCGCGAGAGTCACGACAAAAGACTCCAGTCCGAGACTCCAAAAGAACATGAAACACTTCGCTGGTCGAGATGAAGCCATGGAGTGGGATTGCGCCATGACTTCGCTTCGCTCGAGCCGGAGAAGAAATAAGTGCGAAAAAGACTTTGCTTGAGATGGAACCAAGCATGCAGCATGTGGCAGCATGCTGTGAAGTTTTGGGGTGTTTACTTAGATGCCGTTGCCACTGCCGGTGTTTGCAAGTTGTGACAGTGATTCCTCGGCGATTTGGGGTGATCTATGGTTGCGGGTGATCCAATGTCATCTGTGGTGAAACTATGGTGATTTGTCTGGACTCAAGTTCCAATTCCAACTTCAGGGGCAGATTCAAGCACGAGGCTTCTAGAAGTCTATAATTAGGACTCCACAAGATGCAAAAGAGCAAGAAAGCACCAAACAAACTCCTCTTCAGTGATTTCCACCTTCCAATGCTTCTGCTCTTGTTTTGCAACTGAATCCGAAAAATAGCAAAAAAAAACTCCGACCTCCCAAACATCAAGGGCGATTCCCCCTTCTTGTGCTCCTCAGGGCAGAACCGCGAGTTCGAACTCGTACGACGGTTCTCCTACACTGTTGGCAATGTCAACAAGGAAAACGTGAAAACGAATCACGACTCAACACTCCATGGCAAACGGATGGCCAGGAGCAGCGAACACCGGGAGCAGAGCCCTCCCGTGCCGCTTAAGCTGTGCTTCCAATCCAAAAGCGTTTGGAACAGAGCAAGCTGACCCCCAAAAGCGTTTGGAACGAAGTGGAATAGAGCACCTCTCCTTGCTGGGCAGGTTGTAGGTCTCCGGCTCGTCCCCAAGCAGATTCGGGCAGGTGACAATGGTGGCATGATCGCCAGGGCAGAACATGAAAATGTCTTCTAAGAGCTCGTTCCTCAGGTCTTCAACAGCTTAGGTCCGTCCTTATCGTTTCCATCTTCGGCCAGTGCCCTACTTGTAGCTCAAACAACTCACACAAGCTCTTCTGACTAGCCATCAACTCCGGAGTAACAATGGTTTCACCACAAACCACATTTGGCTCAAAACAAATGTTGCATTAACTCACACGTGTCATAGGAAACATGGAAACTGTTGATCTATGAAGTCACACCTAGAAAGTGGTAAGAACTTGAAGCGGTTGCCCCAAGTCGGTTCTCTCTGAACCTCCTTCCCGCAACTCAGTTCTCGCTCTGTTTGCACTTCAGGCGGCTCTTGTTTGAACCACATCTGCTCATAGACGTGCTTCGTAAGGGAGCGCAGGCGCCACTGAAAGCGCCTGCAAACAGGCTTGGCCCGTATGTCACATTGACGAATCTTCTGCTAGCAGAAGAGGTCTTGATCACTTGAAGTGGTGACTTCTGGTTACCACAAAGGGCATGACTTCTGGTTAGCACAAAGGGCATCGCTATAGTAACAAGGGCATCCCTACTAGTAGCAAGAAGCTATTAGGTTGGAGGCCATCGCTACTATAGTAACAAAGTGCATCGCTACTAGTAGCTCCTGGCATCGCTACTCGCTCGAAGCTAGTCGCTCGAAAACCGCACCTCCAGGTCCGTTGCAGCGCCTTCAGCCGCCGCACATAGCGTTGGATCGGCAGCTTCACTCGAAATCCCAAGGGCGGCGGGATGGACATGAAGCCCTGCAAGACCTCCGCCGCCTGGACATGATTCACCGTCGGACTGCGAAGTCGGCGCGAGAGGCCGGTGCGGAACTAGCGCGGTGCTGGCGCGGTGCCCCCCCGTGTTCAGCGGTTGGGTGAGGTTGGTGGAGCGCTTGGCGCCATGCTAAGCCATGCCATGCCAAGCCAAGCCTTCTTCTTCTTCCAGGTCCGAGACCAGCTGATGAGGCGCCGTACCAGCGCATAGAGCCTGACACGTCCGCAGGACGTTTGAAGGGAGGTGCCCCAACCCTGGTGGTTTCGTTTTCGTCCAAAACAGCGGCGCTTAGATGGGCGGAGAGTGGCAGAGGGTAGATGGGCGAGACCTCGCGAAGCAAAAACATAGCCCGAAGACCTCTTCAATCAAATACATCATTCATGAAGCCACTAGTAGCTAGAAGCTACTAGGTTGGAGGCCACCGCTATTAGGTTGGAGGCCATTACTAAGTAACAAAAAGCTTCAATCGAAGTTTGCTGATTGAAAGAGTGAACTGACCAGCGCCTCAAGAGCCCACCCGGGGCCCTTGAGTCAAGCACTACAGCAGCAACCTAGGTATGCTGTCCGATCCTTAGGTCCTATAGGTCTCAGACTTCACTCACCTCCGGAAATGAAATGCTTTCAAACTCTTTGGATCACTTCCAACTGATCTTTGGCAAGGTCGGTGGTTCCGAAAATAAAAAAAAGTTGACATCCGCCGGTCCGCCCTACCCTCTCCGAATCCCTCCGGCCTGCAGGCCATCGCCATGTTGTCAGCCACTTCTCCACTGAAGATTTGGAAGAGCGTCTCCTGGTCGACGTCCGATCGATCGCGGGGTTCACCCGATCCATCGACGACGTGTTCACCAAGGGGTGCACCGGCGCGGGACTCGATGCAATGATCCCCACGGATCAACCACAAGACCAAGTGAAGAACTCTGAAACTCTTTTTCTTCACACGTATCCAGAGTTCTCCCTTTCATGCCGAACAAAACAAAAAAGACCTGATCGAACGAAGAACTCTCCTGATCGAAGAGCCTGGTGAACAGCTTCATGACCTTGCTAGGCATGTACTTGGCCAAATTCTCCAGGGCCTTGGCTTTGAACGCAGAACGCTCCGAGAACGCTCCGGATCGGAGAATGGAGCGATCAGAAAGAGGTCAGGAACGGAGCTCATTTCGGTTGATCAGACCCAAAACCAATCACTACTCACTATACTACCTATACTCACATCTACTCTTAGTGCGGTTTTCATGAGGCTTTCACTGGGTCGGACAGACCTCTCGAGTGGGCGAAATGGACTGAAAACCCCCGGAGCGCCACCGAGGGGCCAGCTGCACACGGGCCTCGTCCTCCGCCTCCTCCGCGCCATGGAGCCGCAGCCCTCGCCCGGCGGAGGTGCTTCCATCCCCGCGGAAGAAACGGTTCCTGAGAGCGGAAGAAGACGTTTCGCGGAGACGACCGCTTCGGAGACGACTTGCTTCGGAGTGACTCGGCAGGTTCTGAAAGGGAAGGTGTTTTTCCCCAAGAGTCGTCGTGTCTGAATCAGAGCTAGTTTCTGAATCGTCCTCTGTTCGAGCATGGCATCTTTGGCAAGGGGTGACGGGGTGTAATCTTCTTTAGACGTTGGAGCCCCCAAAAGCCAAATCGTCGGGAAGTCCGCCAAACGTGGTGTGAGACTTGGGCCACCGGACTGTCCGGCACTCCAAGACTGAGATACATTTCATAACCTGAAGCATCCTGAAACTACTTCTTCCTACTAGTGACAACAGGCTTTTCAAAGGGCACAAGTCTGGGTGTCACTACCTCTTGGTGCTGACCACAATGTGCCACTTCTAAAGGGGAGCAGGTCTTGTAACCAGGCACAAAATCATTGCGGTTTCAGGTGATGACGTCTGAAAAAAGAGGTGTCCAACCACAAGGCACCAAGTCAGTGCCTTGAATTCTCTTCTCGGATTTCCAAGTCTCCGGTAGTCCTCCGCCGCTGCCCGGTGCATCTCTTCCAGCTGCATCTGGCGCTTCTTCTTCGCCAGGTCTGTCCGCGCACAGCGCCTGGCGACGAAAGCGTGGTTGAGGATCCAGTAGAAAAAATACTTTGAGGAACCTACTGGCGATGGCCTCCAACCTACAAGCATTTAGAGAGAGAGTTCCCAAGCTCCTCCCAGGTCGTCCTGGCAAGGGTCCTCCCGTCAAATCAGGCGTCGGCTTCACCAAGCTTCACTCCATCTTGACCCTCATCATAATCTTCATCAATCATCTTATTATTCATCATCATCATCATCATCATCATCATCATCATCATCATCATCATCATTTTCTTCTTCTTCTTCTTCTTCTTCGTCGTCTTCTTCTTCCCACCTGAGGTTCTGCATCTCCAGCTGCACTCGATGCTGCCACTGGAAGTCCGTGGCACTCCGCCGGTTCCGCGTCACGAAGTCCACCGCCGAGGACGGCCGCGACGCCGGAGCCGAGCCGCCGCCGCCCGGAAGCGACCGAGCGGCGCGGGCGCGGGAGGACTCCCGGGCGGCCAGGAAGCGAGAGAGCTCCTCCGTCTCGAGCTATGCAGAGCTATGTGCAAGTTCGATGTGCAGCTATGAATCAGCCTTTTGGTCTCTACCCCTTATACAACTGAACGTAAGGCTAGCCCACAGATCACACCCCACGCCAACTCCACGGTCAGTCCTCAGGCTTCAAAGGCCCCTTCCCCAGCTCCCGCTGCAGCTCCAGCGCCACCGAGCCCCCTGGCGGCACGAGCGGAGCGGCGTCCAGCAGCGGCTCGGAGCTCGCGCGGCGCAGCGCGATCTTCCGCCGGAGCCGGTCCTGCGCCGGAGTCGGGCCAGCTTGCCGCCACCAGACTGCCATCGATTCGAAGTCGTGTGTTCGTGGATCAAAAGGAATCTCTGTAGTGATGCAAGCATATGGTTTCCCTATTGCAAATGCATCTCTACATCTGCGTTCGACAAAAAAGATCAAGCACGCAAAAAGGGCCAGGCGAATTAACATCAGCTGCTGTGGCGCACTACCAACCGACAGGTTTCGCCCAACATCCCCAAGCAGCAGCAAGCAGCAGCAAGCAGATCCCACGCCTGCAGTGAGCCACCGGAACCTTTCGGCGTTCGCCTTCGCTTCGGGCTGACGTGCCGCGCACCGCGCGCGCCGCCGTCGTGGAGTGCGGCAGGGCGCTGCCGACGTTGCAACGTCTTCAGCTGGGCATCAATCTCCTGTCGGTTCTAACAAGTGGACGCTACGAACGGAGCAAAGGGCATCGCTACGAACGGAGCGATCGGACGCTACGAACGGGGCTCCTGGCCGTACTACTAGGAGCAAGAAGCTACTAGTCCAAGGTCGAAGCCGCCATCGCATGAAAATGTCTGGACGAACCGGTCTTCCAAAACGGCACTTGCCGCACTTTCACCGGTGTCTTTCGTTGCTCCAACACGAATCCAACTACTAACCATGGCCTCCAACCTACTAGGGATGGCTCGGATGGCCTCCAACCTAATAGCGATGGTCTCCAACCATAGTAAATGGATCAAGTCGGATCAAGCTCCCCTGGCTCCTCTTGGACGCGAATGCAGTTGGCCTTGATCTGCTGAAAACGCCGTGGACTGATTGGCACCTCCCGACCATTCCCGACAGACGCGGGGACCAGGAACTGGGTCGGTCCAGCTATACAGGTCCAAAGACCCAGAACCAGGTCCTGGAAACCTCCTTGAGTAGTGATTTTATATGATCAACTTCAGTAAGACGTGATGTCTTTGACCTGTAGGGTATGTCCTCAGAGACATGCTGCCATACTCATGCTGAAAGCATAAGGCGATCCGTTTTCCATGCTCAAGAACCCAAACAATCTCTGATTGTTTTCGGAAAGGACGTATTCCGTATACTTGATCTACTTGTTCCCGACTTATTCCTTCAAAACGTCAGGCCATAGTCGCTAGTCCCTTCGACCTCATCCGCCCGCAGCTTGTCGGCCCGCAGGATGCGATGCTCCTCACGGCGAAGGAAGTCACAGAGGCCGGGGTTTCTCAGAAATGTGGTTCTTGAAACAACCCGACGTCGTGCAGCTCGATGCAGCTTGGTCGGCTTAACGAGAAACTGGAAAGAAAGTATTTGGTCAGCCAGCATTAACCTTCCCTGCCAAACAGCCGAAAATACAGACCTTCGCATCCTCCGGTTGAATCCAACCCCAGCTTGGCCCCGGCCTTCACTGTCTCTAGCTCCATGGGAAGGTGACGGAGGAGCTAGAATGTCACATGTCACGTACTTGTGTCAACTCAAATCGAGTCATATCAGCCGAAGTGATTGGCAGTGACATCCCGGAACCCAAGCGTCCACAGAGTTTTTCAAGGGTGTTGTGTCCTTTCCAAACCATATTAGGAACCGAAGAGATCCCGAACTGAACTTCGCTGCTTGGCCTTCACAATTTTCCGACTGCCGGCTTGGCCTTCGTGCTTCAGCCGACCTTTGCGGCCACACTGCACGCGAGCCAAGCGCTGAACCCGTCAGAACCGGTCGGACACGGGCGTTCACGTGCGTTGAAAAAGGTGGAGAAGGGACAGGGAGGTGCAGTCAAACCACCGGAATCCTCAATTTCTGGAAAACCAACTGTGCGGAGTAAAATGGTCCGAACTCCGGGGCCCAGACCGCCCAAAAACCTAAAGCTTAAGGAGATGGTCACCCTCTCAAAAGGGTTGGCCAGCGACCGAGCCCATGTTCACTGTCTCATTTCCAATCCCAAAACGGATCCCGTATACAGATCTCTCAAACGCACCTGCCAGCAGGGCAGTGACTGGCCTGGCAACAAAGCTAGTACAGCTGATGTCGGCTGATAATCTCTGATACTGAGTGTTTTGTTTCAAAAAAGGAGGCCATCGCAGCTAGCAAGAAGCTACTAGGGGGCCATCGCAAGTAGGAGGGAGCAAGGACGCCATTAGGTGGCTTCTGGAGTCCGTCCGCCTGCGCCTGCGCCCAAACAGAAGCAGCTCAGGTGGGAGGGACCGGTGGTTTTGGGAGGCCTCTAAGAGTCAGGAGGCACAGCCGTTGGTCTCCAGGGCTCAAAACTGCGTCACCTCCCTGACATCCGCTTCAACCAGCACAAACCGTGCTGGTCAGCGCGTGTTCTCACGGCTTCAACATCAAAGAGAAGCATGTTTGATCCATCTTTGACTCTGGAAAAATGCGGGCCCAAGGGCCAAGAACTCGAAGAATTGGGTAGGACCGGCCCAAGGGCCAAGCAACCAATGGCCGTCCAACCGAAGGTTCTTTGCCATTCAAATGCCCCAAATCGCTTCATCGTTCAACGAGGTCGCGCGTGGGTGCGCTCCCACGCACCTCCGCTCTCGACCTGGAGTCTTTCGCGGAGACGAAGAAGGACCAATAGGGCCAAGCAAAACGAACTCCTCACCCCAGTGACCGGGTTTCAAGTACACCATATGTCTCATCTCTCAAGAGAAGGGTCCCAATAAATTAAGGTCATGTGGCCACAGAGCTGAAGCCTAGACATCCAACTTCGACTGGGCTAGGAATCTGCTGAGGCCTCGTTTCAGTTCGAAGTGTGCTGGAAACAACCAGTTGGATTTGTTGAGCTACATCATGTTGATTCACCAATACAGTTCTTTGGTTTTGCAAACTGGGTAGCAAGCTAGGGTGGAATTCTTGTTTGGACACCATTGCAAAGTAGACTACGGGCCGCCCTTCAGCAAATGGATCTGTGCAAGGACATTCAGCCAAGGCATGCGAAAACTGGATGGGACAGGTACCCAGATTTCGCTGGTTTTAATCAAAATGAAGTGGTATTGATTACTAGTATTGGTAATAATAACATTAAAGAAACCAAAAAGTGAAAGTAACATAAACGAGCTTTGCCACTCTTCTTCCCATACAGCACCATACGGCACCATATGGCACCTCTCGGAGCCAAGCTCTGCAAGCGAGACATGGCGCGAGCTCGATCGATCAGAGGTCGTCGTCTTGGGGGCAACGCTGCGTAGTTCGATCAACCAGGAAAAACCGAGGCAAAATATGTCAAAAGGTGATAACGGGAATCAGAAGCCACAAGCTGATTGAAAACAATTGCTTCAAGCTGCATAATCAGATCTATCTGAGTTATCTGAGCCAAAAGGGATGCAAGAACGCCTCGATGGCATACCACTCTGGAAAACAACACCGAAAACGCCGTGGTGCACGAAAGGGTCCACACCCGACTTCTAGGGTCCCGAGGCGCAAGTGCTGCAAGGGAGTGGAAGGGAAGATCTGAGAAGAAAAAACTGTCTGGCAGCTTCAGTTGGCCAGCTATAGCAGCTAGTTGCCAGCGGCCCCGGTCTCTCTTTTTGTCCCGCGGCTTGAAAACCCTGTGTGTTGATCACTTTCGATCCAGCCCTTGCGGTATCCAAAGCAGCGATGAGCCAAGCAGGGGGTAGGCAGCGAAAGCTGCGGTGTGGTGAGAAACCCGAGCACGGGGCCGTTGTTTGGCACAAGACGGTCAGCCACGAAACTCCTCCGGGAGATTCAGAGGGCCAAGACCCGGGAATTGCGAGACGAACTTGGCTGCCGTCCTCAGAGTTCAGGCGCGCTCGTGATCCAAGCCCTGGTGCATCAACGTGCAGACTGGTGTTTGTCTCATTGTGGGAAACAGGGGACTGAAAGACTTTCAGGAACTGGTGTTCAACAGAACTGTTCAACAGCACTATGTGGTTGCAAAGCCAAAAAACTCGTGAAAGGATCTGGAAAAACCGGAAGTGAAGGTTTCCCTGCCAACCTGTGATGCAGAGCTGATTGGAAGCCATGTTTCCCTGCTTTGATCATGTCGAGTCCAGTTTGTTCAAGCTCCTTGAGGTAGAGAGTCAAAAAGATCCTCGGAAGACAACTTCAGAATTGCACCGTCGTCTCGCGACCGAGAGCGACTGTCAATTCCCTGCACAATGAAAGACATTCCTAAGCTGGTCCCTTTTTAACTGCCGGCAGAAGGCAAGTACTGCCAGGACCATCTTTCTTGAAGCCCCAAGTTCCATCCACATCCCTCAATCAAAGAAGAATCTCCTGCCAAGCAACGTAAAGAAGCTGTTGCTCAAGCACTTTGGCAGGCATCCACCAGTCTCGGTTTGTGCCACCAGTGTAGCTTGAACTGAGCCGCCCCCTTCCTTCGGCTTAAATTCGTAGCCTCAGGAAAGCCCCGGTGAATAAGGTTACATCCGTCAAGTTCTTCCTTACGACCACTTAGTAGTTTCTACTTGGCAAGAAAATCACTTGTTCTTGGTCTAGTTTAAGCAAAGAGATCCTGCGGCGCCGCTTCCACCAATCGCCGCAAAGTCCCCACTCCAATCCACAGTCCGGTATCTCTTCCCTTCAATAGATCACCAAGCCGCCAAAGATGAGATTCGTCCCTCGGACAGCTCCCGGAAAGGTCGGCACCTCTGCAGAACCTGGCCACGGATGGGGCAGAACCTCACACTTGACATCCAACCTACTAGCGATGGCCTCCACCCTACTACGCGATGGCCTCCAACCTGCTAGCAATGGCCTCCAACCTTATACAACGTGGGTTAAGACCCAAAACCGATGCGGATGAAGATCCGATATTCTCAGAATCAGCCCACTGAAAGTGACTCGCCTCCCCGGCTCTGAGCCGGTTGGGGGCATCATGTGGGGTCGATTGCACTCAAATATATAGTATCTTCAATCCAGGTCTATACGTTTGCGTCCTGGACATAAATGCACCGTGCCACTCTGGTTCTAGACCAACGACCAAAATGCACATGAGACATATTTAATGCTGTCAAAACACAAACAAATCAAAAAAGAGCTCACTTCGGCTGAAGCCAAAGCCGCAGCAGCTGAGAGTGCCTTGCACCAGTGTCCCATCAGCCTCTCTGGCCCAGCCACTGAAATCCACATAGTCCCTCCACGCGATGGGGCCGCCCGGTGGAGCGATGGTGTACCTCGCGGCTCCGTGGCAACGTGATCTTTGGTCCAAAGAAAATGTATTTGTCTTATCGTGATATTCCTCAAGAAGACCAGACTGAGAGAGGAGCTCCATAACCCATCATGGTTCCCCTTAGCCCATAATGGTTCCCCTTCTGAAAGCAGCACTTGTCCAGGTGACAAGAGAGCGACGAAAGTGTGCATCGACGTGTTGATTGTCTATCTGCCTGGGTCACCTTGCAGCAACAACGATGTTGCGACCAAGGTACACCATAAAGCTCTGCTCATCTGGGAAAGTGTGGAAAAACTGAACAGTGGCCAACCCCCATTCCTTAAAGCCAATCTTCTGGGCATCAGCTAGCATGGCCACGGCCAAATCAGCTGGAATCTTGAGGTCCCCAGTGAGGCGGAAAAACCTCAGCGCTAACCTTGACCACATGTCTGTGGCCATCGGTCAGGCGCGAAAGCTCTGGGACCTTCCAACGCTATGTCAAACATGGCATGAAATGTAGACATCTAGCTTGAGGACAATTTCTACATGAAATTTCCGACCTGCGTAAGAAAGAGAACCAAAGAACTAAGCAGTTTGTAGCGCCTACCAATCTTGGTTCATTCCGTTGCCACGGGGCGCATTGCCATTGTTCTCAAGAGATGGATTCCTCTCATAGGTGATCCCATCCGCCTCCCTCTCTTTCACGAAGCCCGGATAATCGGCCGAGGAGAACTTTCGGATGTCGCCCAAGAGGCGCCGGCGAAGCTCCGACACGGTGAGGGAGGCACCATCCCAAACTTGCAGTTTGTACTTGGGATCTTGCAGGTCCAAAAGGAACCGCGGAGAGAAGGGCGCTTGTTTCGCATCCACCCAACATCCAAGCCCGGACTTCTTGTAGACTGACACCCTCTTGGCTGACTCTCTGGCAGATTGCTTCTCACACCTCAATCAAAGAAGGTATTGCTGGGAGCATCAACTACCCCCAACGGGTCCCCACAACCAAACAGGTGCACATGATACCAAGACACTGCCAGGGGCAGCAGCAAAAGAGGCATGCAAGCGAGGTTTCGACATTGTATGCACAACACCAGCAAATAGGCGACATGTCTTCAGATGCCACCCATCACACTCCGCTTGAATTACTTGTTTCGAGCCAAAACCATACAAAAGGGATCAAAACTGTCTCATTTGAAACTCTCCGAGCAACTTCACACACAAAGAGATATCATGGAAAGACATCCAACCTGACAGGTGAGCATCCATGTTTCAAAAAAACTGCACCAAACTTGAGATTTTTGTCTGCAGCTGGTGTTCCATGTTGTTGGTTTTTGAGGCTTTTTGGGAGATCCAAACTGACCATCCGAAGGTGCTCTGGATGCAAGACCGTACACTGCACTGCACATCATCCAGATGAGTCTTTTGTCAGGGTGTGGACTCAGCCATGAAGAAAATGTCGAGCCTGAGCGGCTGTGATGGAAAATCGTGCCATTTGGCCTTTCGGCTCACCTTAAGTGGCCCTATGAAGTGGCCGTAGAAGGTGCTCAAATGCCCTCCAGGCCTGAGCTGCCGGTTCTAGCTCTAACTATTGTCTGTTGTCTGCCTCCTCTTCAAACAACTCTTGTTGTCCACATCTTCATCTCAGGAAAAAAAATGTTCTCTTCATGTGTGTTCTTCTTGTTCTGGTCTTGATGGCTATGAGAATCCTTCTCTCGACTTGGGTCCCTTCAGCTTTGACCACCAAAAAATATTTGGAACCCACGAACCCGAATGCAAACACGTTCGAAAAGCTACATATCTCCAAATAACACTCTTGTAGGACACTCTTGTGGGACACTCTCTTGTAGGGAACTCTTGTGGGTCACTCTT